CCAGTTTTATTAAGTAAGGACTTGTGTCGCTAAAATTTCGTCGGAACGAAGTTACGGAAAGTTAATTAACAAACGGAGACGTAACATACATTTGCCGTTATGTTAAACTTATATTAAAGTTTTTCTTCATTACCAATTCAAGCCGTCTCCAAGCATTATTAGATACTCGTATTGCATCGCTGTTTCGCCACACCTTTAATCGTATCCTAAAATAAATAAAAAGAAATGCACAGTAAAAGAGACTTTATATGCTAATACTAATTTATTAGGGCATAAATAATAATAAATAATGGTTTTTGTTGTTTATATTATATTTTATTATTATTATGAAACCAAGTGGCCATGAACATATTTTGTATGTTTTTTATTTAAATTTTTGATACTGGATAAGGAGCCTTTTCCACGCTTTTGCACAACTATGTTTTGTTTCACGTCTGTAAAACCGTATTACTATTAACCAACTGTAGGTAATGTATTTATTAATCCGGAGCCAAACAAGTCAAATTTTTCAGCAGATAAAATATTTCAGTTTTTAAACTGAGGTAATATAATATACATGTCAGGTATCGAGTATAGTTTTAGCATTAGTAAAGGTTATTATTTCAAATCATGACAGATTATAAGGAAGACCAGAAAAATGAAATTGGGGCGCTCGAATCAATTTATCCAAGTGAACTGACCGGTTAGTTGAACTTTAAGCTAGGTAGTACTATTAAAATACAAGTAGAAATTAGAATAGTTAACGTTAGCTTAAAATGTTTAAACTACATGGAATGCAAAAACTGAACTTAATGAGTACTGGAAATTGGAATTTATTTATATGTTTTAGCTTAAAACTTAGAAGGGATAAACTTAACACACTCTCTATATATAATATATATATATATATATTCATGATTTATTTGTATTTTAAATTTAATTATTTCTTAAAAGTTACATTAGGCATCATATCTAACCTTATTGGTGTGTAATATTTTCACTGTGTTAAAAAAAGTTGGTACATTGTATTAAGACTTAATTTTAAGAGAGAACAAAACTGGACAATTTGATTTGATGAACATTTTCCTGCTTGACCTGGATCATTTTCTGCTTCTTCAGTCAAACAATCTAGTCTGCTTAACAAATATTTCCAATTTTTTCTAAAATGGTGACACTGAACAAATGCAGTACAGCTTCCTTGTATTCTAATATTAGAAATATATTATTAACTCCACGTAAGATATTGGCAAACACAGTAAATACAGTCTTGAATGAAACTAAAGTGTAACTAACATTGTATAAGTAGTAATCCTGGGGTTTGAGGATTTAATAGCTCAAATCCTGGGATCCCAGGCAGAATTCTATTTTTTTTATTCATATACTTTCTATTTTGTCTTTATTAAATGTAATTAAACTACTTGCATTCCTTACTTAATTTAACTGACTAAAAAATAATGCAAAAGCACGAGATTGGTGAAACTTTAAGAATTTGCATGAATAAATATATTTTTTTATTTAAAGTTTAACTAAGTTATGAATGCTTAAATAGGGCCCATTTTTGTGTGCATCTTACTGTGTTACAGTCATCCAGCAAGAAGGATTGTCCATTAGTTTAACCCAGAGTGTAAGCAATTAAACTTGAGTACAGTCAGCTTTATATTAGCTTTTAATGAAGTTTAATTATAAAAACACATAGGTTCAAATTTTTCATGAAGTTTGGTTAATTATTTCTACTTTGTGAAGAAAAAAGAAAGGGAATAATAATGGCACCTCTCTGGTCTGGAAATTGTTATTACAATCCCCAATATCCCGAGATTCTCTTTTTTTAAATCCTAGGAGTTGAGGGACCCTTTTAGCATAGAGGATCATAGGGTTGCGACTCCTAATCTGGATGGATGTGGTAAGGATTATTTTAATTAGGAACCACATTTTCATATAGATTTACCCAGCATAAATGTGTGAATCTTTCTTATTCAAAAGTTTAATAAAAAAACACAATTAATAACATCTCTAAAACACTTTTAACTATGACGTTAAATCAAAAATTGAGTAAACTGATTTCACAAAAAGACAAACTTGTTACTGTTCCACATCAAACAAATGGAATGCATGAAGAGTTTGCTCACATCTTGAAGTTAATATAACATTTGAGGGACAACAAGGAGCCCTTTAGCCTATGGCTGTCCTATTCACTTTATCAAACTGACTGTATCCAGCCCTGGCTCCTCTTGAACTCTTCCAACCTTTTGCATCTTCCACTTCTGAAGGCAGTCTATTCTAAACCTTGGCCACCCTGTTCAAGAAATGAAAGTGCTTAATTTACAGACAACTTCTATTTTGTCAAATCTCAAATTAATATTTCCTAGTCATACAACTCATACCATTAAACACACACACAAAAGATTATGCATCAATCCTATCTGTTTCTTTTATAATTTTGAACACTTCAACCCCTCTAACTCCTCTTTTCTAAAGAGAATAATAATTTTAAAGACCTTAATCTGCCCTCGTGTGACAGCCCCTCCAACCAAAGAATGATCCTAATTTCTGTCTTTTGAACCCTTTCCAACAACTCAATGTCCAAGAAAAGAGCCAAAGACTGAATACAATACTCCAAATGAGGGCTAACCAGAGATATGTACAAAAAATAATCTCCTTTTCTTTATATTCAGTATTCTTGTAGGTTTTAACCAAAATCCTATTTACTTTCTCATGGGCAACAACACTGTCTTGAAGGCTTAGAGACTGATCAACCAAAACTCTAAGATTGCTTCTTCCACATCTGATTTCCATCAAGGTGGTAATTATAGTTTAAGGTAGTCATTATGCATTACCTTGTACTCTGCATTTCATCTGTCATTTATTTTCCAAATGATCTAAATCCCTTTGTAAAAAAAAATAAAAGTATTCTTCTCTCTGCCAGCTACACTCAACACTAGTATTATTGCTGTGTTCACTCATTTCAGTAGATTTTGCTTTTGGCTTTATCATTTGGGTATTATCTTGAATTTACTATTTCACATTTTTCATAAAGAAAATGTACAGCCTTGTCCTTCAGAATTTTGGCAGATTACATTTATCATTATTATCTAATTCACATGTAGTAATGGAATATGGTTCAAAACTTGTACTAACTCTAACATTTATCAGATTAATTAAATAATTTATACCTGAATGTGATATAATGTAACATATAAGGGACAACAATGGGTCTGTTGGATCATCAAGGCTACTGTACCCACTTCAAAGAATAAAACAAAAAATTCAAATCCATCCCTGACCATTTAAGTATTTGTTGAGCCTTCCTTTAAATTTCCTTAAATTTACTGCATCTACCAATCTGATGCGACTCATTCCAAAGACTAACTACCCTATTTTAAAAGTAAAACTATTTAAGCTGACAATGTCTCTGTCCTTACCAAAATTTATATTTGTATTCTCATGTCTCCCATTCTCTCCCCTAAATATGAAAAAAAAAAAATTGAGTCAATACAGTCAGTTTCCTTAATAATCTTCACTACCTCAATCAATTTCCCTCTGTTTCTTCCTTTATCAAGAGAAATCAGTTACAAAGGTCTTAACTTGTTCTTGTATGACAACATTTCCATCCCAGGTATCATTCTAGTAGCCCTCTTTTAAACTCTTTCTGAAAATTCCCCTTCATTAAGTATCCCAAAAATGAGGCCTAACCAGTGATATATACAATGAAATTATATTCCAGTTTAGAAAGAATGATGAAATACTTTTTCATTAAATATTGGAGTGTGGTAGCTTTGCAAATAATTAATATTTTTATTAACTTCATAAAAATTAAGGATAATATTGACCCATTAATACTTTGAAGAGGACATATTCACTTAAGAAAGGATTGTGAATATCGTGCTAAATAGAATTTTTGCTACTGTTTTCACTAACAATTTTAAGAGATGTATAGGATTATAAGTTTGTTATGGATAGGAAGGACTTTCCCTTAAAGTTTTCTTTTTTGTTGAAGACATACCTGTTGTGTAAAAATTTGAAAAACTTGAGAATGAAACTCCTGGAGGTGGTGAAGTTTGTTCTGAAACATCGAGAAAGCTTAGTATAAAGATAAGAGCTTCAACTATTATATTTCAGAAATCTTGACACCAAGGGCATTTGATTATTGGAAGATTATCAATGTGTTTTCCTAACCTTAAAATTGGGAGTCACTTACAAAAATCAGTAATTGTTTTGGTCATTATAATATGTGGCAAATGATAAACACTAAAATTTCCTTTCAGTATTAATTTAGTATAAGAGCTTTCAGACAATACAGCTTTACTCATAGTTCACCTTGAAGAGAAATCTTTTAAAAATTAGCTCTTTTGTTCTCATTTATGTAAAGATTTTGGTAAAAATTCATTACATTTTGTAATATGATTTACATATAAAGACCTGTTTTTAGTATTAAACTAGTCAATACACTGGGAGAGACTTCAGCCATAATTTAAACTTATTCAGTTCATGGTAATTTATAAAAAAGGCTAAATAAATTGTATTAGAATGAATATGTTTCACTTCTTATTTTAAAGATAAATTTAATTACTTTAGGGAAAAGATAAAGTAGTGATAAAATATCATAATATATTTAGCTCTAACATTACGCTTGGCAGTGTTCTTAATAGGCTACTTGTGTTTAGTGTTGATTATTTATTCCCAGGCTACGATGGTTAAGAATAGTGTAGTTGTTAAGTACTCATAGTTAAGGTGTAATAGGTTCAAGGAGTCAGTTTTATTTGGGAACTTGGGATTGGCATGCACATTTAACCCTCATCAGCATATCTTTGAAAAGTTGCATTGTGGAATACCTTGGGTCCAAATGGACACCCAGCACAAAATGACCACTATAGTAAGCTCTAAATTGAAATTCCAAAAATCACTTGCATTACAACTCTTATTAGGGTTAGCATGCAATGTGAACAACATAAAAATATATGTATTATAGAGGAAATATGTTGACAAATCAAGAAATTACAAAATTACGTTTTTCTTCAATATACCAACAAGTAATATTAAGCCATTCCTTATATAAAAAGTGTATCAAAAAAGTGTCAAAGTTTTAGTACACTCCTATATTCAAGTCATTATCCATCAATATATGATCAGATTACCACAATACTGCAAAATTCAATTCAAAGAAAACTGAAAGTGTATGTTTGTGTCACCTTGGGCCTGACCAGACCCCAACACAAGTGTAATCTTATAGTAGGCTATAAATTGAAAATCCAATAAGAAGGTTATTTACAACAATTATCAAACAACATTTCTATAAAATAGGACATTATAAGCAGTCATCACAGAGAACACTTGTTGAGGAATGAGATGTGCGAACATGCTTACTACAATGATGTTATAAGCAAACAGACAAGATAATACTGTACTACTTTGATGGATTATCCTCTACAACAACCTGTATAATAAAATAAATTATTAGAAATTTGTTTTTATGCCATAGGGCAAACTGCATGTATAATGGTGCTCAGTGATAGTCTGGGGTCTACATAAACCCCAGATAAATATTAGATTATAGCTATATACTCCATCTGCCTGTTCCGAAAACAGTAGTGTCATATTGATCCAGAATCTCTACTTCACAATTACATGAATTTATATAAATTTGTAATGATTATGTAAAAAAATATACAACCAAGAAAGTCGTTGGGGTCCATGCGGACCCCAGGT